GAAAGAGTGAAGTGTTACATATAATATTATTATCAAAGTTCTCCAGCTCAATAGTAATTCCCATTTTCAAGAATGTATGTATTAAATGCTATTTTAATGCACTTTCCCCCGATGTTTTTCAACTATGCTTCAAAAATCTGATTTAATTATTCATTAAAAAATACAACCAAGCTTATTTTAAGACAGAGGAATATCTGAATATGTTATTGCTTTGTTCAATAATGTGATTCAAAATCACTGTTCTCAGTTCACCATCACACTGAAGCTACAAACAAGAAGTCTGTTTCTTTCAATGACACACACACAGATATATTTAGACGTGCGTATGCATATGTGTGGGTGTGTGTATAATATCGTAGGTTTAAATCAAAGTTTAAATAAGAGAAATCATTTGAAAATTTTATTTCCACAGGAAATAAAACATTCCCAAGGATAGGAAGAATATAAATATCAGTTAATTTGCCAAATAAATATGTGGTGGTTAGAGGTAAAACTAAATTAAAAGAGACTGGCCTGTAGAAAACACTGACTGGCAAGGAACAGAAAGCATTCTTTTTACTATTAAGGTAGTATGATTTTTTAAATAATTTTATCATGAAAATATGAAAATAAAAGAATAAAAGGCAGTTGTATGTTCATAGAAGTTTTCATTAAACCTTTTATTTTAGAATAGTTTTAGATTTACAGAAAAATTGCAAGGATAGTATAGATAGAACCCATATATGACACACCCATGAAACATTTGTCACAATTAATGAAACAATATCAATGCATTATTAAGTCTACACTTTATTTAGATTCCCTTAGCTTTTAACTGTCTTTTTTCTGTTCCAGGATTCAAGATGCCACATTACATTTAGTCACCATGTATCCTCTTAGCTGTGACATTTTCTCAAACTTTTCTTGTTTTTGGTAACCTTGGTAGTATTGAGGAGTACAAGTCTAGTATTTTGTAAGATGGCCCTCAACTGGAATTTGTCTGATCTTTTCCCCACGATTAGACAGTGTTACCAGTTTTTGGAAGAAAGACGGCAGAAGTGCCATTCATATCACACCATTCAAAGGTACATACCATCATTACAACTTATTATTGTTGATGTTGAACTTCATCACCTGGCTGAGGTAGCGTCTGTTAGGTTTTTCCACTGTAAAGTGATACATTTTTTAAGAGGGTATCTGGACGTAAATTCACTGGACATTTACACTGAGATAAAAATATTCTGAGCAGATTCCTCAGCATTGCTACTCGGTTCCATTAAATGACTGCTAACCAATACTATGAAGAAAATATAATGAACTGGAAATTGTTATGTTAGCTTGAACATTCACTTAAAGGAGGTGAAAGTTAACTTTTTCCCTTGAACTACCTGTATGATTACCTTAATCCTCTGAATCCCCTGGATAGTGAAGATTTTAGTTTTACTGTCATAAAAGGTAATCTAAATTGATGATGATTTTGCTGAGTACTTTTCTATACTGCCTTCCACTGAACAATGAACACTGAATACTGGAATAATGTAAAAGGCTTGATTTTTTCCC